TTAAAAAAAAAATAATGTGTCTCAAATGCTGGGCAGGCTGGAAAACCAATCTAGAAACTAACTTTCAGAAACCAACCTAACCAGAAAACTAATGCCCCTGCCACATTTCTACCAGCAATACTTCTGTCTGCTGATAACAAGCTGTCTCTGAAGGTCAGACATCCTGCCAGCACCCAGGGAAGTAAAATGAATGTTGAGAAGAGCCCTTGCCCCCTAGTGCTTACAAATAACTGGTGCTTACAAATAACAATGTACTGATATACTTTTGAGACTGGGGCAAAGGATAAGTAGCTGAATATCAAAGAAAAGGAAATGGGTAGATAGCACTCCCCATCACCTGGTTGCTAACAGCCTCCAGGTAAGAGGAAGGATCGCACTTTCCAATACAGGCGATCAGCCCCAGAATGGCTCTCCCCCTGCCCTTTAAGTCACTCCACCTTTTGGCCACATAGGCAGGATAAAGGGAGGAGGGGGCATGAGAAGAAAGGAAACCTGAAATCCATAAAGGGGCAAGACATCCTCACTCCCTCAGGCACCAACTCTGGACCCCCTCCTCTTAGTAGGGGCCCCTCTCTCTTTCTCCCTCTCTCCCTCTCCTGCCCCTGTTCTATCCTTTAAATAAAACTTGTTTTCTTGTCTCTCTCAGCAATCCAGGGTTATCACTATGACCTCCCATTAAATTGGAAGTTTCTCATAGGCTGGTGCCTTGTATTAACTGATATATTGCCATGTACTCAATAAATATTTATGAATGAACAAATGATAACAGTATAAATATTATATAAGTAAAAGGGTACAAGAAAGGCATATTATTCTAGCTTAGCTATTAAAGAAAAAAATGCAAGAAAAGAGTGTTCCAGGCAAAGGAAACAGGCACACATAAGGCCTGGGATTAGGGAAATAGTAGCATTCTGAAGTCAGCAGTTGGTACTGGTTGATATAAAGCAGGTTGTTAATCTCCTGCACAGAAGAGACCAAGGTGTGTCATCAACCCCACTCAACTGAACCAAACTACAGGAGAGGGAAATGGAAAGCAAGATGTTTTAGTCAGCTTTTTCACTATTGTGACTAGAACACCCAAACAGAACAATTGTAGAGGAGAAAAAGTTTACTTGGAGGCTAATAATTTCAGAGGCCTCAGTCCGTAGACAGCAGGCTCCATCCCTCAGGGCTCTAGATGAGGCTAGAAGTCATGGCAGAAGGGTGGAGGGAAGTGGCTCACATGATGTTGAGGAAACAGAAAAAGAGACTCTGCAGACCAGATACAAAATATAGATCCCAAAGCCACGCCCCCAGTGACCCACCCCCTTTAGCCACACCCTACCAGCCTTCAACTTCCACCCAGTTAATCCCATCAGGGGATTAATTCCCCGATTGAGATAAAGCTTTCATAACCCAATCATTTCTCCTCTAAACCTTCTTGCATTGTCTCACACATGAGCTTTTGAGGGACTCCTCACATCCAAACCATAACACAGGATATGTGAAAGGCCTTCTCAGGTAATTCTGAGCAATCTTCCTAAGAAAAAATATTTAATAAGTGTGTGGGGAGGACAGAGAAGAGGAAGAGGAAGGGGGAAATAACAAGCAAAGTAGTGAGGAAGGTTCAGGTCATTCCCCCATTCCCTGGCTTTCACACCTGATTTGCTTCACTATCATACCCATATTCCCACATCCTGCTACAAACTCCCTGCTGATATTGTTATAGTTAAAGCTTTGTCCCAGGGTTTCATAAACTGACTTCCAGACCACTCACATATAATCGAATCGAGCCTTTATTGAAGCACACTGGTGGCGGCTGACCAGAACATAAAGTTGTTCCCCTGATCAGCCCCAAACAATTGCAAGGGCACTCCATATAAGCCTGAAAACTGCAAAAAGGATGTTCTGTGGGTCTAGCCAATGCAAGCAAGCCAGGTTACAGAAGCGGGGCAGTGCAGTCAAGCGGAGGGAAGCCTAACCAATCACAGCCCAGTCCCCCCAGTTACAGAAACAGAGCCCCATTACCCTAGTTACAGAAACAATACCCCATTAGGTAGTTCCGTGTTCTTAAAGGTTTCTATAGCAAAAGGAAAAGAACATCTTGCTTCAGTCATGACTCTTCTACTTGGCATGGTTGTTTTACAGGATGAAGTCATAAAACAAAATGGAGTCACATTTGCTTCTACTATCACAATATGATGGTTATAGCAATCCTCTTAGCTCAGGGGGACTTCCGTGTTGATCCATTCAGTAACATTCCATCTAATGCAGCACACCCTGACTGGGAGCCTACCACATGAAAGCCAGTGTTATCACTAAGGATGCCCAGATGAATAGTCATCCCCTCCTCTCAAGGATCTCACAATCTAAAGCATCTGCATTCTAATATCTAAGAATATACATTAAACATTTTTAAGAACTAAAGGAATTGCCAGTGGCATCAAAATAAGAAGATTTCTTGAAACACTGGTCTTGTCCTCTATTCCTAACATACTCTCACTTAAAAGTTGCTCCTGCTGAGTTCCAACTTCCTGCACATTGCATATGTAATATTCAAATAACAAATCGCAGATGGACATATTAAATTCATCTATAGGAATCAATGGTTCTTTTTCAGTAGAGACATTTTGCTAATGAGAAGAAGAAATGATGGAGGAAGGAGTAATGGGAGAGAGAATTCCAGGCAACTCTCCTTCCAGAAAACTAATTATTTTCTTCCAGAAGAGGCAGAACCCTACCTATTCCAACTCACTGCAAGCATTATGTGAAAGGTACTGGTGGATGTGACAAGCTGCAGCAGGGTCCAGAGGAGAACAAATGCACATGAAAACGACTGGAACAAAAGTAATCCCTGACCTTGCTGACCCGAGGCTACTGGAGGGAGAAAGATATCAAAAGGAGGCGGAAGAAGGTAACATAAAGTGAGGGTTGACTCTGCGAGACTGGAGCCTTCACTCAGCTGCAGTCCCATCCAGGAACAGAAGCTGCTGACCAGTCCTGAGCTGGACAGTCATTCTTCAATGGCTTTGGGTGGTACTTACATAACCTGGCCCATCCTTACCTGTGTTAGCTTTCTGTCACTGTGATGAAGTACCTGAGATAAACAATTTAACCAGAGTCAAGATTTATTTTGGCTCCTGGTTTCAGAGGCTTCAGTCTATGGCCAATTGACCCTGTCACTTTGGGTTCTTTGGTGAGACAAAGCATTATAGCTGGGAACACAACGGAGTTGAGGTGCTTACCTCATGGAGGATGGAAAGCAAAAAGAGAGAGAGATTGAAGAAGGGGACACGTTTCCAGGACATGTCCCCCTATTTCCTCCAACTAGGCCCCACCTCCTTAATTTTCTACCACCTTCCAATAGTGCCACCAACTGAGGGCCAAGTTTTCAATGCACAAGCCTTTATTGGTCATTCCTGATCCAAACTCCCAGCCCGCTGCCTTTACTCTTCAATTCATCTAACTGATTCTCTAACACCTCCTAAGAGCTCTCAGCCTTTCAGCCCCACTCCACTCTACCTCAGACATCTGCATGTGCTGCTCACTCTCCCACATCCTCCAAGCTGAACTCACGAGTGATCTTCTTCAGGAAGATCTCCCTGTCTCCTCTTTGTCAGTGCTGCCATAGCTTTCCTGGATGAATCAATGATCAGTCAGTGAACTTCATCATCTTCTGAGCCTCTGACGGTCCAGACCCTTCCTTGCTCATTTCTGAATCCCTAGGTCAGCCTGGTGAATGGCAGAGAATAGCTGCTCAGGATTTATTGAACAGAACAGGATGCATCTTATCTGTGTGCTTACCCTCTTAGCTATAGGATGTTGGGAGTAATAAAGAGATATTATAAGCCAGATGCGATGGTGTCCCCTCTAATCCCAGTAGCTTGGGAGGCTGAGGCAGAAGGATCGTGAGTTCAAAGCCAGCCTCAGCAACTTAGCCAGGTCCTAAGCAACTCAGTGAGACATTGTCTCTAAAAAAATACAAAAACAGGCTGGGGGTGTGGCTTAGTGGATGAGTGATCCTGGGTTCAATCCCTGGTAACAAAAAACAAACAAAAAAAAAAGAGGTTTTATGATACTCCCAAGACAGACTTGAGAGTCAGAACCCAAAAGAACAGTTTGGGGGAGAAAAGAATTCATCAAAATGGAACTCTGAAAGGTCTTAGGACTGAATCTATGAAAAGTCCATATCTCAAGACTCCATGAAGAATTTTTACAATTCTGCTCTCCATTTGGTGTCCCATTGTGAAGCACGTGGGAGGCACTTGCAAAATAAACAGATTTAACAATTTCTGTGTATCTGATTCAATATGTAGTTATCGATTTAATTTAAAGCTGTCCATTTTGTGATATGGATTCTATTCTTCCCAAATAGGATTCTCAGTTGTCTTTTTAAAATTCAGAGGTTGTTTGTTATTTGTTTTAAATAACTTTCAAATACCGTTATGAGCTGCTCAAATCAGATGGCTCAAACTGGATGAGAAATTTGTTCATTACCAAGATGGTTAACTAAGTAGTGCAAGAAATGTGGTGTGTTTCAGGAATATAAAGGCATTGTGTTAGAGCACATGAATTTCTGCTCTTGGGGCCCAGGATTGGCAGATTTGGACGGAGTCTTGGTGGACCCAACGCGCCTCCTTCTTTGAGGTTAGTGCTTAGAAGGAAGGGGTGAAGGAAGGAGAGAAAGGAGGTGGAAGGAACGCCAGAAAATCCATTATACTAGATATTGAGAAACTTAGGTTCCAGGCTCAGCTATGCTGTCCCTTGATCTCTCTGGGCATCAGTTCCCTCAATTTGAAAAATAAAGCCAGTGGCTTAAGTGATTAATGACAGTCCTCTCACCCGGAATTCTAAACTCAATGCGGTTCCGTGCAGTTAACTAAGGAGAGCCACAAGGGCCGCTCCCGCAGACCCTCGGGTCTTGGGGTCCAGCTCCCGCCCAGGCCCAGGCCTAGGCCCAGGCCAAAGCCGTCTCGGCGCGCGCCTCCGAGAGCGCGGGATCGCGCCGCTCGCGTCCCAGGCCACGTGACGAAGCCGCGGGGCCGCTCCCGGGCTGTCATGGCGGCTGCGCGCCAAGATCCGGGGTCCAGGCCTGATGGGGGCGTCCGCTTCTTCTGCACCGCGGGCCGGGGCCTGGAGCCGTTCCTGATGCAGGAGGTGCGCGCGCGGCTGGCGGCCACGCAGGTGAGTCAGCCTCGCTGTGCGCCAGGAGGGCAGGCGGCCGTACCCGGTCCCGGTCCCCACTCCCCGCCAGCGCAGTCTTAGAAGCGAGCTCGGGTTCCCAGACCCGAGAGTGACCGAGGCTAAGGTCCCTGACCGCGTGAACGTGACTGGCCGGTCCTTTAATTACTGCTGGGAGGAACCAGCGGTTGTTTCTTTTCCTAAATACCCAGTCCTCTTCCCGCACCTCCGACCTCTGCCGTGGCTAAAGTTTTTAAAAGCGAGGTGTTGAGCCAAGTTCCTGGATTCTTTCAAAGGAAGTACTACATAGGGCCAAGAACTAGATTGAGACCTGTCAGTATCCTTTCTTCCTCCTCTAAATGCAAACATAATCTTCAGGTTCAGCTATTTAAAATTTGCTTGGTGACAATAATTGGTTTTACCTCTTAGAATTATTGTGAGGATCAAACGATGTAGGGTATTTAAAGTACACCTTAAACATTCAACAACAATAGCTGGAAAAATAATATGCTCTTGCAGGCCTCATACTTAGTTGTTTTTAACTTCAATGAAATGAACAAGCAAGGTTTTAAACACCGTTTTTTTTTTGTTTGGTTTTTTTTTTTTTTGGTCTAGAACTGCTTGAAACCAGAAGGTAAAGATGAAAAGATGTAATTAGAAAAGGCATCTTGATGGGGTATATAGGACATTGTGAATAATGTAGTCTTGGGAAAGGAAAGCTTGCAAACCAAGTAGACCACTTCCCTCAGGGAGCTCCTACAGTGTTGGAGGCCCACAAAAGAGTTTCTGCAGTGGAGGTTTGAAGTGTGGGTGGACAGTCACAAAAATGTCATCAGGCCTATTAGACCACCTGCCATTGGTGGCTTGGGTCACAGAATTTAATAAAGTATTGAACGTAGCTAATCTAAAATAGTCACTCTGTAATAATAATTGCTGGCATTTTTCAAGCATTTAATGTGTCAGGCACATGCTCTTAGGTCCTTACCCTCAATTTAATTGCTTAATTTTCATGACCCTATGAAGTAAGTGTTCCACGTTTAACAGATGAAGAAAATAAAGCTCTGGTAGATTTAATAATCTGTTCAAGTCTTGTGCCAGAAAATGGCAAAGGTGAGATTCATACCCAAGCTGCCTGTGAAATCAAGCACAAGTATATAATCATATTCAACCCAGGCCAATTATGTAGCCATATGTAATCCTGCACTGCTTTGTTTTATTCTAATGTTAACCAGGAATGCTTGGTATGAAAAATAGAAGGCTTGATCCAATCTAGTTACATAGGCTTATTAGGAAAAGACCCTCGCTGCTTAATTGTCTTCTTTAGAGACAAAATAAGATGGGGAAGTTAGAAAATTCAATTAAGTATAGGGAAAACTTCTTGACAATGAGAGTAGTTAAATGCCAAGATAATTTCCATATTCTGCTCTTGTATATTTTAGGGACGTGTTAGTCAACTTTGTTGCTGTGACCAAAATACCTGACACAAAGTAGAAAATTTTTTATTTTGCCTCACAATTTTCAGAAATTTCAGTCCATGGTCCGCCAGCTCCATTGCTTTGGACCTAAGTTGAGACAGAACATTTTGACTGAAGGGCATGATGGAGGAAAGATACTGAGTTCATGGCAGCGAGAAAACTAGTCCAAAATAATGGGGACTTGTATCAGAATCTCTCTAGCTTTGTAACCTAGAAATGTGGTAGCTCAATTGCTGTTGTCCCTTTGTATCTGAGAGAGGATGGGTGCCAGGACCACCCCTGCTCAGACACCAAAATCCATGATTGCCCAAATTCATTATGTAAAATGGTGTAATATTGCATCTAGCCTACACATATCCCCCACATGCTTTAAATCATCTCTAGGTTACTTATAACGTCTAATGCAATGCTAATGCATTAGACGTTAATGCAAATACTGATCATACTATATTGTTTAGGGTATCATGATGAGAAGGAATTCTATAGATGTATGTTCAAACATAGGCTTTTATTCCAAATATTTTTCATCTGAGATTAGTTGAATTGGCACATAGGAAACCTGCATTACAGAGCTCCAACTGTCATGTGAGAAATTGCCCTGTAACATTGGGTATAGGTTATTTCCATAACACCTTGGCAAACAGCATATATGGGCTTTAGAATCAAAGACATGTATTCATACCTTACATCTTCCTGTAATAGATTTGTATCTTTGCACAAATTACTCAAATTGCTAAGCTTGTTTTCTTGGAGGTGAAAAAAGGTGATAGTACCCGCTTTTTATTTTTTGTAGTACCTACAGGATTAATTCAGTCATTCAAATGAGGATAGATTGGTAACACAGTGCATGACAAACAGTTAGTGCTCAGTGAATGTTAGGTCCCACAGGAGTTGCACAGGAATACTTAAGACCATTCCTGTAGTGACAAGAGAGTCTGTCAGAAACTTTGGTTTGCTTTAAGAAAAATTAATATTCAAAACCAGGAATTTATAAAACAAATTAACTCAGAAGTGATTGTTTACTTTTAGAAAGTAATCATTCAATTTTAATCAGTGTTTTTCCAATTTTAGTGAACATAAGAATTACCGAGGGAGCTTGTTGAAAATGCCATATCCCCGGGTGCACACCTCAAAAGGTTCTCTTTCAGTAGAGCTGCTGATAAGCACAGGTGTTCACATTTGAACATGAAACACTCTCCCTTCCCAGGTGACTCTGCCAACAAACTGCTCAGTGCACAGTAGAAAATTTTCCTGTGTATTCCTTTTAGCTTTGTTTATGGAGAATTTTGTGCAGATATAAAAGTAAATAGAATAGTATAAAGAATTCTACATACTTACCGACCAACTATGAAAAGATCAACCCATGGTTTGATCTGATTCTGCCCCATTCACACCTCCTGCCACTCTTTATCCCCATGTTATTTTGAATTAAACTCCAGGAATCATTTCATCTGTAAATATTTATCTATCTTTAAATAATAAGGACTCTTTTATAACACTACATAATATAATACAATATAGTATAATGGCTCTAAAAAATGTAAGCCACATTATCATTGTCACAGATAAAAATAATTCCTTATTAAATATCTAGTCAAATGCTCAAATTGTCTCTTAAACATCATTTTTGTTTTTTAAGTTTGTCTATTTGAATCAGGATTCAAATACTTTCCATACCTTGGTCAGTATTCCTCTAAGCAATTTAATCTACACATTTAACCCCCTCCATCTCTCTCCTTTCTCCCCCTTGCAAACTGTGTCTTAAAGAAGTTAGATTGCCAGAGCCAGAAAACTTTTTCCTATAAAGGGCCAGATAGTTATAATTGTAGGTTTTATAAATCAAATGTGGCTTCTTTACATATATTCTTCTTTGTTTTATATTTACATCCTTTTAAAAATATAAAAGCCATTCTTAGCCTTTAGGCCTAGTTTTCTGACATGGCTGTGTTGTCCAATAAGGTTGCCACTAACCAAATTTAAATTAAAAATAAATGACTATTTAAATTAAAAATAAAGTTGGATAAATAAGAATTCACTATTTCAGCTGCATTAATGACACTTTAGGTGCTCAGAAACCACACTGTTGGTGGCTACTATATTGGACAGCAGGAGTTATATAGTATTTCCATTGCTGCAGAAAGCTATTGGACAGCACTGATAGTTTCCCTGGTCTAGATTTTGCAATCCCATTTCCATGGTGTTGTTTAGCATGTTCCTCTCTTTGTCCTTTTTGTATTGCTCTAATAGAATACTGCAGACTGAGTATTTTATAAAGAAAAGACTCTTTACAGTCCTGGAAGACTATATTACCTCCCTGTAATATGATATGATTTTACCTAGATCTAAACATTTAATCTTTAGATTAGACTAGAATCCATGAATTTTAAAAAGAAAAAATGTTGATTAATAATATTCTAGCAGATAATAGAGCTGTTATTTAATCTTCAGAAATGTTAGGCATAAACCAGTGTTTAGACACTTAGATATAGTATAATTCCAAGGAGAAAAAAATATATAAATTTTCAAGTAACAAATATTAGGTTGAAATATTCTAAAATTTTACATTTATCTCTACTGTAAGTGAATATGATCAATTCTTAGCAATAAACTGAAGAAAAAGAGAAGTACTGGCTTTAGCAGTTGATGAAATTATAAGCATCAAAATTCAGTCTCCCTATTGCTTTAAGATGAAATCCAGTTTTCAAGAAGCGTAAACTGTGTGTCCTCATATATGATTATTTTATTCTCACAGGGACTATCTCATAATTTAGTAAACTACTTCCGATTATATGCTTATTACTCATAAAAACAATGCAGGCTTTATGTTAATTCTTAAAGAGAGTAACATTGCTTTTTTTTTTGGTTCTGAGAATATATTTGTTAATTTAGTGCATCAACATACACTATTCTTGTGATTTAAAACCCTAAATAAACTCTTTTTTGGTTCTCTTAATCAATACTGAGTCATGTTCTTTTTAGAAGATGTTTTCTTTTTTTTTTTTTAAAGAGAGAGGAGAGAGAGAGAGAGAGAATTTTTTAATATTTATTTTTTAGTTTTCAGCGGACACAACATCTTTGTTAGTATGTGGTGCTGAGGATCGAACCCGGGCCGCACGCATGCCAGGCGAGCGCGCTACCGCTTGAGCCACATCCCCAGCCCTAGAAGATATTTTCACTGTTTAAAATGTTTCCTTTAATATTCAAATAAGAAAAGATAACATCTTTGTATAGTTAAGGAACCAAAATGTCCAGATCACTGACTACGAAGATATAGTCCCTGATATAAGTGTTTGTATTCATTTTCTTGCTTTTAGGACTTAATTCTTAAAACCATACATTTTCAGTAAAATATTTAGTTCAGTTTCCCCAGAATCTTGGCAAGGTCTGTGAAATTGTCTTGGAAGGACTTTGATATCAGATGTATTTTTAACTGGGTAACAAATCTTAGTTCAAAAGTTTACTTTTTAAAACTCTCTTTTCAAGGTCTAAGCATTTTGAGGTAAATATTTAGTTTTGGAAAATGTCATCTATGTAATGAGAAAGGAGTTAAATCTTATTTGGGTTACTTCACTATCCCCCTAAATATTGATTCCTAAACATTCTTCTCATTCTTTGTTTTTTTCCCATAATGTCATCATATGTTCCTCCATCTGCTTTGATCAACTACATTGCTGATACCTAAGCTATTTGAGTTTTAGTTGGTACCAACCTAGGGCTTCCTGGGCAGAGAATCTTCTTTCATCAACCTAGTAACTCTAGAAATTGCCATTGCAGATGTTCAATTAGAGCCAAAACAAAACAAATCTTTGGTTTTATGTTCCTAAGTCTAGTAGCTGCCTAAACACATAGTATCTTAAGTCTGTTTTGCATTGCTATAACAGAATACCTGACACTGGACAGTATATACATAAAAGAGCTTATTTAGCTCACCATTCTGGTGGATGGAAAGTCCAGCAGCATGGTGCCAGTGTCTGACAAGGGTCACCCCTGTCCAAGTCACAGCATGGCAGAGAAGCAGAAAAGGAACCAGCTGCACATAGAAGGAGCAGGTATAGTGAGCAAGGAAGCAGGAGAGCAGGGAGGGGCCAAGCTTGCTGTTTTATAATGTCCAGCTTGCAAGACACTCCCCACTCAGCAAGAGCAGCATGAATCGCTTCTGAGGCTGTCATGACACAGTCTCCTCTCACTAGGCCTTGAAGATTCCACCACCCTTCAGAATCACCACGTTATAGACCAAGCTTTCTGCACATGGACCCTTGAGGAACAGGCTCAAACCCTAGCATGTGGGTACCTTTCTTTTCCTGGGTGCCTTAGTTCTCTGAAATAACTCAGAACTCTGTTAGCCCATGGCCACTGCAGAAGGAGAATTCCAACACAGTCTACATCCATCTTAAACTTAAGAGAGCTGGGTCGGCCCTATGAGGTTTAGGGTTCCACTGGTACTGAGCCCCATTTGCTACATCAGGCCCCTACAAGTCAGAGCTCTTTCATTTCCTTTCTTCCCTACTTTTACCACATACCCTGTCTTCAAAGCCTGTTTCTGTTTGAAACAGTGTATATCTCGCTTCTGTCCATTTTCCAATGTCTCATCATTTCTATCTCAGTTATCTACCTCTCCCTCCAGCATCACATTCTATACTCAGTCCTTTATGTCTCTTCCAAAGTAATTTTTTCTGCCAGATAATTCAGTGCTGTCACAGTTTTCATCAAAATTCTATATCGGCTGACCATTACCATCCGTGGTACTCAAAATTTCATGACCGTACATCAAGCTGGCCTAGGCCGCACCATCTATCCACTCGACAGTATCAGTCAGCATAATGCAGTGAAAGTTGCCAAGCCAACTTACAGTTGACTTCAGCCAGGTTTTCTCTCTGCTTCTGCATCTGCTCCTTGTTCTTTTGTTACTAGCCTTCTTCCCAAATCTTGAAGAATTCTTACCCAGTGCTTTAAGTGACATTGGCCTTCAGTGCTACTTATTGTATAGATAGCTTATCAGTACTTTATAATATTAAAACTTGTTCTTTTTTTTTCTAGTTCTTAGGTTATACAGTTTACCTTTTAATTTTCATGCCAATGTTTTAATCAACTTTTTCATTCCTGTGGCTAAAAGATCTGGCAAGAGCAACTTAAATAGAAAGTTTATTTGGGGCTCATGGTTTCAGAAGTCTCAGTCTGTAAATGGTCAGGTCCCTAGCTGTGGATCTGAGGTGAAGCAGAAAATCAAGGTGGAAGGGACATGGTAGAGGAAAGCTGTTCAGGACATGGCACTAAGGAAACACAGCTCCACTCACCAGAGACAAAACAGGCAAGCCCCCAGACCTATTCCTCCAGCTACACCCTATCTTCTTATAGTTACTGTCCAGTTAATCCATATCAGTAGTTTAATCTGCTGATTAGATTAAGGCTTTCATAAACCAATCATTTCACCTCTGAAAATGCTTGCATTGTCTCACCCATGAGCTTCTGGGGACACCTCATTTTTAAACCACAGCAGCCAGTATATATCTATCACATTATTAATGATAATATCTACTGTAATATTATTCAGGATTTATGGCATATGCTTCCTGGTGGACCACAGGCAGGTGTTTTATAAATATCCACTTTAACTTTTTTCCCCCACTTTTAAATAGTGTTTAAGGTTTATGTAATTACTAAGTATTTTATGTTCTGTTTTTCTAGTAGTATGTGCATGTGTATGTGTTAAAACGTAACATGAAAGGACTATGATCTTGATCACTGACTGTGTAACCTTATAGATAACTACTTAACATGTTATTTAACCTATTCTAAACCTCAGTTTCTGATTTGTAAATTAAGCATGATAAAATCTACCTTAGAGGGGGGTGTTAGAAAGATAAAGGGAAAAAATATGTATTCAGAATTCTTAGTGTAATGCTTAACAAATAAAAGATGCTTTGGAAATGGACATTTTTAATTATTAGTCTAGAGGCTATGGTCTTAATTAAGTGGGAAAAGGATAGTTCTTACCACATTAATATCTTTCTGTCTCTAGGTTGAATATATTTCAGGAAAGGTTTTTTTCACCACCTCTTCTGATTTGAATATGCTAAAGAAATTAAAATCTGCAGAAAGATTATTTTTGCTAATTAAAAAGCAGTCTCCATTTACTGTTTCTTCTCCACGTAAAGGTACAGTGTATGCCTATTTGCTTTTTATCCACTTAATACATTGAACTCCAAAGTTTTCTATGTAATAATAGGTAACAACTTCACATTCATAAGTCATTCATACAAATGGCATCATCAGTTGTTTTTTTCCTGACATTATCACATAATGATAGTGATATCTATTTTTTTCCTTTTTACAATCTGTTATCTGTCTCCTGAGATTTTTATGTCCAAAGTCATATTTTTTTTCTTTGGGAATTATTGTCAGACAACTTCTCTAGATGTAAATTTGGTCATTTGCATTTATTTGCATTTAGAAGCATGTAATAACTCCGAATGTATTATTTTAATAATAAGTTGGTGAAAACTGTCACCTTATAAATTTTAATTGAGTAACAGGACCTTAAATTTATTTCAATAAACTTCTACCCATTTATATTTTATAAATATGCTGTGAAAATAATTTAAGAATCTTGATCAAAGCAGCAAAAAGGCCAGACACTGCAGGATTAAACACTGCCTTATACTTCATTTTGGTTGCTGATGTGCACAAGAGATCATGTAATTATATATTCTCTAATAAACTACTTCAAGAAGGATACAAATGACAAGAAATCAAGACTGGGCAGGAAAAAATATTTTAAAGCAAATCCCAAGATATTATCTTGTGGGGTTAATATAATTTCATTCCAGTTTGCCACCTACCTTCATCTTTAGGGAAGTGCAGTAATTACTTTTGGGTCATCTTGATGACCCTTATTCATCAAGAAAAGATTAAATTTTACTGAGCATGTTGGCAGTCCTTAAGTTTTGAATGGATCGTGTATGTGAAGTTTCACTTATGAAAACTCATTTTAAGATACATGCTAATGTTGTATAACCCCAAGATTTAGCTGCTCCAATTTCTGAACTCTGTATTTTACAATTTATTCTTTTTTTTAAAACCTTAATTTTTATAGGCAAGATCACCATTATTTAAAAGACTCTAGTCTGTGTATTTATTCATGAGATACATATATTTATTATCATAGGATAAATGAATTTGTTAAAGTAATACATGGTAATTATATGAGAATTTTAATGCAATATTGATGCTGTGTATATAAGAATTAACTTAATCTGCATAATATTCTTATGACAAATTATATAAGTTCCATATGAAAGTGAAATTTTATTCATGTAACAATTCAATAAACTTATTTTAAAGAAAGTAATGAAATTTGGGAGTAATGAGTGTATAAATGGTCTTTAAAGGGATATGGGTTAAAGTGAGATTTTATTTATTTAGGAAAAATATTTAATGAAATACAAAAACTTATAAATGATGATCCAGGAAGTTGGTTGAATACCATTTCAATTTGGAAAAATCTTCTTGAACTTGATACAAAAAAGGAAAAACTTTCTCAAAGGGCTTCTAACCCACTAAAAAGAAAAATGGGAGAAAATGAAATTATTGCTAAGAAATTAAAAGTAGAAGAAATGCAAAAGATTGAAACAACTCATAAGGAATGCCAGCTGGAAAAACAAATAAAAGAAAATGCACTCGAGCAAAGAGATTCTGTCACTGGCCAAGAAACACTTCAAGAAGAAGGATGTCAGAATGATGTAGGGAAAGCAGTTGATGCTCATAACCAGGACGACTTGACTTTCCGGGTTTCTTGTCGCTGCAGTGGAACTATCGGAAAAGCCTTTACTGCACAGGTATGCTTACCTCCTGAGGCGGGGTCCCATTTTCTAAAAGAATGAATCCGTCACTCCTGAGATTTACAATGAGAGGCAGCCCTCCCATAGGACAGATAAATAAGCCCAGCAGATAATTAGGTTTAATCTTCCTTGACTCAATACCTTCAAGATTGCATTTCCCCTTTTAACTTACCCCTAGGTATCTAAAAGGAGTGGCATGCCATTCCATGTAATGACTTCCTTTTATTTTGTGCCTAAAGGTTTTCTTAAATTCATAGATGTCCTTTGCATTTGGAAACCCTGATGCCATGGTCTTCAGCTTTGTAGGGGTTCTCTTTTATACATTTTTTTCTTATTGGGTGGCTACTTTGCACTAGGGATTTACCTTATATATATAAGTGGGATTTTCCTTAGGACCTACAACCACAAATACACAGGAGGACTCCACACTTCAGGGAAGAGTGGACACCACAGTTTCCACAGAACCTTATTGGTTGACCCTTACAGAGTTCAGTGATACAAAGGGCATTGGTCTGAGTTCTTTAGTGAACTTTAGAATCAAATCGTAAAAGTGGGGTTTAATGATACTGTTCTGGTAATTTGTAAACAGGATGATAATATCTGAAATGGTTAATCTTTCATCTTGCTTTCGTTTCCTACAACTTAGAATGACCGTATTCATCAGATCATGATCTTGTGATTTTGTATACCTAAAATTGCAAGAATAGATGTTCTTCATGTGTAGACATTAATGCCATAGGTATATTGAGGAGTAAGGGAGATAAAATATAGCCTTATTGCCTTGAATAGAAAATGCTTCAGAGTAACATTTTAATATTGGGATCCTAAATTATCATCAGATAATCTGACTTGATTTTTCTATAACACTTGATTTTCTATAAATTTTTGCTTCTCTTTAAATTTCAGATTTTCATTTTTAATATATTCTTTTCTATAACTTGCTACTTTGCAGGAGATAGGAAGAGTAATTGGAATTGCTCTTATGAAGCAGTTTGGATGGAAAACAGATTTGAGGACTCCAAATTTAGAGGTAATGAATATTCTTTTTAATTTATATACATATAAACTATTCTTATCATGTTAAAATCCATGTCTGTACGGATTCAATAGTCTAGTTTGTCTTTAACAGTAAAAGAGTGCAAACAGTTTTTCTAGTAGTTTCACTGTGAAAATGCTTTATCCAAATTTAAAAAGAAAAGACAAAGAAGTTTTTTGTTCACAGCTAAAGAATAAAGTACCCATTGTGAGGTTGCAGAGATGCTCTCTACAGTTGCTATAATATGTAACAAGTCTCTGATAAGAAATTCTAGCTGTTGTTTAAAAGTCAATAGCAATAAGAAGGCCTGCATAAAATTTAATAGTATTGTTACATGGAGTAGCAGAAATTATTCTTCTCTTTGTTTTGAAAACCATCTCATGAATTTGACAGATAGTCATTTTCATGATTTATTAATTCATAAATTAATTGCTTGTTATATTGCTCTAAATGGAGTAATAACTAGCCAAATCAGAACACTGTATGGTTTTTTTTTTCAGTTTTATAGTTCTATAGTTTTAGTTTTAGTTGATATTTTTCAATTTTTAAAAAATAACACCTGGTGTATGTCCATCTTTTCATGAAAAATATTTTGATGCCCCTGAATAAGGTGTCTTCTACCCATCCTGCCTTTTCAGTTCTCTTTCCTTCTTCTTCCCACTTTCCTTTTTTGTCTCCCCATCTTACTGTCAGAATTACTGTTTTCTCATAGCTTAGCTTATAAAAATAGCAAATTTAATTTCTACAAGCCTTAATGAAATCAATAATAGCACAAAACAAAATTGACAACACTAAAATCGCATGTAATAAAATTTGTGACTGAAAATTGACAGGATAATCAAATCTTAACAAATTTTGTTTGGCAAGTTGATAGAAAAAAATTTTATAATGGAGAAGCTGTTTTTAATATTTGATATGTAAAAAGATCAATCAAAAATATATCATATCTTTGGTATAAATTATAAATAGAAAAGAATTTTAATAAATAATATTGCTACAGTGCATGCTGTGTAAAAATTGGAAAGTTGAACTGTGATGTTTCAGTTGATCAAACAATTAAGTTTCTAAAATGAGTCACTTTAGATAATTATTTTTTAGGAAAATGTATCAATATTGGAACAATTCTGATTAAACTGCTTATGTTAAAAATAACTTTGAGGGGCTGGAGGGTATAGCTTAGTGATAGAACACTTGTTTGGCATACTGCCCTTAGTTTGGGATGGCAGTACCAGGGATCAAATGTTCTTAAGGTTCAAAGTGGCAGTTAAATATTTCTTAAACCTTATCAGACTACAAAAGTGATATTCTAACTTTTTTAATTCATGTGGGTTACTAGTATCTGAAGCATTTACATTTTCTGCATGGCCTAACAGAAGAAAGGAAATAAAAGAGGCAAAAACTCACCTAGAGATAGCAGATAGAAAGGACACTCTTGCTACCATACATTTGGCCTGAAGAAAGTTTTCTATCACACTGCAAGTATTTGTAGCTCATGATAACCTTGTGTGGGCTCAAGTCTTACTTGAGGTTAGAATTGTGGTATATTTAGGAAGTCTTTTCTAACCCAAAATTCTGAAAAGTCTAATTCCCTTGTGATAAAATAATCTCTGAGGAAAAAGATCTTGAGTTCTTTGTAACATGATTCTCCATATAATGTATGTACAAAATTGACCTCAGAATTTTTCTATGTAATGTTCTTAAAATTTCGTTTTCCTCTTTTAGAAAAAAAAAAGATTATGAAACATTTTTCCAGATATGGCAAATAAGCCTTGGAATTTCATATTAAAATATCTGTTACATAAATTCAAAATAGAAGTTTCATATTGTCAGTAATTTGGTCATGTATTTTCTTGTTCCTTATGAACTCCTGTGTTTGCTCTTTCAGATCTTTGTACATTTAAATGACATTTACTTTGTGGTGGGGATTCCTGTGTTCAGGTAACTATTATATTCTAAGCTTCAGGTTTGTCCCTTAAGAGTTTGTGAAATTAAAAACTGTGTTTTTTTTTAATAATATGAAATAATGATAAAACAGAGGAGGCAAAAGGTAAAGCATTTTGAGTTCTTTGCTTAATCCAGGAAAATGTATTCATGGAGCTTAGTGGATGTGACTTGATCTGACCACTTAGAGCTGTGAAAAATTTTGTCACAATCATCCATTAATTACATGATTAATACTGAAAATTACATCTAATTATTTCTGTTTTTAAGTGCTTTTTTTCAAACCATGTTTAAGCTACAATTTTTAGTCTGTTGGCATATTAGAAATATATAGAAAATATAATGTAGTTCTTTAAATTCATATTGAATATTTTCCAGATTTTATTGCCATTATTCTTTTATTGTAACAGGTTATTGCTAGTTTTTAAAATTTTCAGGGGTCTCCCTAGTCATGTAGACTACTAAATAATAATAAATACAAATGATTTGTTTCTTTTAATAAATACCTAATGAATTCTTCCTGTGTAACAGATACTTTGTCTAGGTGTTCTGGGGAGAAAGACCTGGTTGAATAAAACCATTGATTTCCAGTTTCTTGGAAGAATGTAAATATTAATATAAATATTAATAAAACTTCATTTTATATGCATTACTCCTTATATAAGTGACTTAAGTACCCTTTTCCTAGGTGATTTTAGGCAGTAGGATGTTTTAAAGATCTGGAAAATCCTGTGAGAATAACGCATTTACCTTAAGCTCTATTTATGTATCTGAAATTTTAAATCAGGATATATTTTTAAATGTTTAAGATTATTAAATTTTATGTTAATATTAAAAACTTTATTTAAGGGTGAGCTTTAGTATTTGACCAGCACAATGCTGAGAACATTGTAGATATCTAAGAATGGTGAATGGTTGAGTACCTTGCTATGTGCCAGCCGTATGGTAGGCTCTACCAGCATTTCCATGACCAACAAAGATCACATTACATGCTAAGTAAAATTTCTTGGCACCATAAGTCCTGAGAGGTCATCACATGTCAATGCCCTATTCGTTTCTCTTGGACCCCACCTACTCCAATATCTTTTATAACTCCAGGCCCTAATCACTGTAAAATATTTATAAAACTGATTGACTTTAATTTCAATACTTTTGCCTATCTTACATTTTAAGATTTCATAACTGACATGAAGGATGGGGAGACTGAAGAAATGATCACATTTGTCAGAATAATATTGATGATCACCAAAACAAAGATAGGAAAGGTTAACAAAACAAGCAAGATATGAAATGTTTTTAATAGAATTTATAATGTAGTTAAAAATTATTTTAATTAATTAATTTATGTGTGTGCATATATAAACATTTTTTTTATTTTTTATTTTTTTTTATTTTTCTTAGTTATACATGATGGTAGAATCCATTTTGATAAAATTTTACAAGCATGGTATATATCTTACTCTAATTAGGACCCCATTCTTATGGATGGGCATTTTCATATGTGTACATAGGAAAATTATGTTAGATTTATTCTACTGTCTTTTAATTTAAAAAATTTTTAATTATATACAGAAGTTTTAAATACTCTTATGTAACAAACATATATAGCTTTATATAGCATTTTAAAGACATTATATTTTATTATTCCAAATTATTTTTATGTTCATAGAAACACTCAAGGAGTCAGGCTTATGGCATTTTAAATATTAATTGGTGATACACTTAAAAATTTACAGATACAAAGTATGTACCTGAAAATTAAGACTCAGATCTTGAGTGAACAGTGATTGTAGATAAGATTTTAATAGATGCTTTGTGATAAGTCAGTTTTACTAGCTAGTGAAGGAAGAAATGGTCTTGATGATGTGTTGGCTAAAAAGAACAATTTACTGGGTATGAGCAAAAAAAGTGACATGAAGACATGAAGAGCAGATAGCATTTGACAAAAGAAGGGACAAACTGGTGATCCTGAAAACAGAAAAAAAAAAAAAGTGAGAAGTGATGAAACAGTATAGAACAGACAGGAAATCTGAAGGCTACATCAAAATGTATATTTTAGTAGTAACTAATGACATTGTTCATAATAGAGCCTTACTTTCTTTAAAGAAAAGAACTATTGGGGTATTAGTTAGCCCCATAGGCCATTAACTGAACATATAACGTAGTAGTGATGGCATAATGGATAAGAACTATGGACTTGAATTCTCCCCTCTCTTCCATTTAACTGCAAGTTTGGCAGTTTATCATTTCTCTGTTTTTTATAAAATCAGGAAAATAATATTACCTACTTTATAGCTTTGTGGTTGGAATTGAATGAGATAAATGAGATACTCCATGTGAAAATGCTTGGTACTATTTCTGGGATAAGGAAGTGTTGAATCAATTTCAACTTTTTTTTCTTTAAGTCAGCAGCTAGTCAGAGGAGAAGCATTTACTAGAGTGAGATTAATTCACCCTGTTAATTTCCTTTGAAACATCAATTGTGTACCAAACACCCAAAGTTCAAGGAATTTGGTCTAGTGGTACAACAGACATATGATAAATGCTTGCCCAACTGAAAAAGGATTTAGCTAAAGGAGGACATGAGGAAAAGAACATGGAGCAGGGTCACTTAAGCAGAGTCCTGAAGGGAATAAGTAAGGGCTCGTTAGTAGACACAAGAAGGAAAAGCTCTTACAGACAAGGAGTAGTGTATTCAGGGGCACAGAGATGTAAGGAAGCTTGAGTTATGAGGGGATGATATGTAGTCCCAGTACAGATGGGACCAAGTGTACGTACAGAGAGTGGTCAAAAATTAGACTGAACAATTAAGGAAAAGGCACAGAGTGTCTTGTAAGCCATGTTAAACAATTTGGATTTCATTCTAAAAGCCATAAGAATTTGAAATGCAAGGGTAATGTGATCATATTTGTGATTTAAAATAATTACTAAGGAAGTTATATTTTAAAATGGAAAAGAGAGAGGATTTAAACTCTGTCCAGGCAATAAATGATGAAGAACTGAACCAAAGCAAAAATTGGGGGTAACAGAAGGACTGAATTCATGGAAAAGTTAAGGAGTCTTGGGAAAACCTTCATATTTCTGATTTAGGCAACTAGTGGATGTTAGTGTTAGTCACTGAGATACAAAATATAGGGAAAGGAAACTGTATTCAGTGACAAACATCCAAGTAGATATTTAAAGTTACAGCTCTGAAGTTCAGGTGACAAGTCTAGACTGAAGATATAGATTAGGGTGACCAATATATGGTAGCAAATGGAATAAGAAAAGAGTAACGTTTATATAAGAAAGAGAGAGAGGAGAATGTGTTCACTTTACAGCTGTTGAACATACACTACTTCACCTCCAGGTAAAAATGCCCAAGCAGGTATTTGAAGATAAAAATCTGGGGCTCAAATCCAGGCTAGAGATGTAGGTAAGAGTGTATTTGTCATGATGTGCAAGAGAATAAAAAAGAAATATATCTATGTGGAAAGGGGGGCAAAAACCACATTTACTTTGAACTACATAAAAACCAGCTACAATCTGATTTAAAACATCAGTCAGACACTATGAAAGTAGAGCATTGTTTTTATTTGCAAGGAGTTTGTGAATACTGTCTTCCCCTGAATAATTTTATTATACTGATTTTAACAGGGATCATTTATTGGAATAATAGCAGATCACTTTCACCTAGCTTTCCGCAAAGTAAAAACACATTCACATTAATGACGTTTTAGTAGAGTTAGCTCCACAAAATAAAAGCTGTGTTGGTAAAAATGTATACATAATTGTCAAAAATTTGAAGGTTCTACATAAATCCCTGCTACTTAGAAGTTGGTAATATAAACTTGTAATACATACACATGAAAACAGTCTTCCAGAAAAGGGAGAGGGAATTTCATCAAAATAGAGGAAAGCTCAGTAGAGTAGAGAGGGGATTGAGGAGGAGGAAGGAGGGTCTGAAAGAGGGAAGAACAGTAGAGTGAAGGTGACTACACTTCCGTTTGCACTACATGGATACCCCACAGTGGATCCCAATATCAACTCTACACCCAAGACACTAATGTTTAAAAAACTATAAATAAATTGCATAAAATTGGCAGAGTAAAGGGAGAGGAGCAGGGGAGGGAGTGGAGGAAGTGGGGAGTGCTGGGGGCTGAATTAGAGCAAATTATATTTCATGCTTTTGTGATTATGTCAAAATATATCCTAATGTTTTATGTAACTAAAAAGAATCAATAAAAAATAAAATAAATATTTAGAGACCAAAAAAATGGTCTTCCATACTGTGTCATTTTTATTTTTATTTTATTTATTTATTCATTTATTCATGTATTTTTGGTGTCTAAAGTATAAAATGTTTTCTAGCAAGACAGTTGCCTGTAGAATTACCAGTAGAACTTACCCTGTAGAAGTGATTAATTGATTGAAATATTTTATAGTCTTTTCACCTGCCAGTTTACATTCTTGATTTCGAATGTATAGATACAGTATTACTTATAATATGAATTAATGTTTCCTGAAAAAAAAAACTTTATTAAAAAGCAAAGCTCCCATGGGTTTGCCATGCAGAACTTTCTCATTATAGTGGCATACTGCTACACTGTTTTATTTGAAAGGGGTATGTCATCTTATTTCTAAGCACATAAGGGGCTTGCAGTTAGTATAAATCAGGACAGGATAATTTAAAATCAAAGAAAGATGAGGAAATAGATCATGGAAGAAATCAATATTTAATAAATTTATATACATGGAATTCTGTTGAAAGTCTTTAAGAACAGTGGAGAACACTGTGTGTTTGGGTAGTGTTATAGAAGAGCCCTCTTAGTAGTTTCAGAACAAGCCTACCCCAGAACAAACCATCACAAATTCTTGAAATCATAACTACTTTAATTTCCAAGATGTTGTTTGCTTATAACATTAGAAAGTTTGAAATAATATATTTTGACAATATCTTAACATATTAAGAGAATTTCTATCAATTCTGGAAACACCAATAGTAACAATGGTGATTAGTAACAATGATGATATAGAACAGAGACCAGTAAACTCATTTGGGAGATGTCTGCTTCATCCCTTTTAAGTTATTTTAGACAGTGGATTGTCATGCTTCATTTCATCTTTTGAGAAAGATGCAAATAAGCAAAAAGCAAATTTACAAAAGGGATTTTTTGGTAGAAAACAGGTTTGAAGGTTAGTATCCATTCAGCCAACTACACCTACATCAAAAAACAGTGTGTTCCTCTTGACTCCAGAGAGAAAAGAACGGTCTGTTGTACATGGGAAGATAAGGAAATACTAAATGAGAAAGATTTCCCTCATGTGTGATTAAATTTTTATAAATTAAACATGAGAGTTTAAATTTCAGTTTCCAAAGAATTTAAGTACCACAGTGGCTGGTTAGATAAAGTATCCATTAGAGAATTATTTTGAATAAGATTAAAATTTTTCTAATTTAGATAATTCTTGAGATATGGTTAGATTAATGTGCTAAAGTGGTTCTAGATACAGACAGATTCATCATTTTTATTTATATCCTGTTCTTTAATATATAGTAATATTTGGTATGTAAACAGCTTCTTTTCTTTGCAGAATCCCCTTAGCCAGCAGAACTTATATCAAGACTGCTGGACTTCGATCCACCATCGCGTGGGCAATGGCATCTCTTGCAGAAATTAAGGTAATGAAAATGTTTTTATTTTTGCTATTAGCACAGTCTCTTCCGTAGTTAACTTATATAGTCTCTTATTGGTGGACAATAAGAGATTGCTTGCTTTCTTTTTCTCATATTTATTTATTTAATTATTTATTTACTTTGTGTTATTGCCATTACACTTTAAAACTACTACAGTGATATGTTTCTGTGTACTTTGGCTATGAAGAAGCTGAAACCACATTTTATTATTTCTAATTGTTTGTGTGATAGTCCAAAGGTGTGGTCTGTCTCTACATCTTAAAATTTTTCTCTATAACTAAGATCTTGATCAATTTTTGTAAATGTTCTATGAATATAAAAAATATTTTCTTTTTCTTTCTTTATTTTTAGCTATAGATGGACACAATACCTTTATTTTATTTGTTTATTGTTTTTTTGGGTGCTGATGATCTAGCCCAGTGCCTCACATGTGCTAGGACAGAACTCTACCACTGAGCTATAGCCCCAGCCTGATAATTTTATTTTCTGATTAAGAAATGTTCTCTATGACCTTTACTTACTGTGTTACTATCTGCTCCTTTCTGAAAGAGCTATTTTGAAATCTTATATTATTGTATTTATATTGTTTTTGCATTTTTATTAGTTATTGCATTATTTAGTTTCTATGTGGTTTGGTACATACACATTATTGCTTCATTTAAAAATTGTGCCTTTTTATTGTACATAAAATCCTCTTGATCTTGATGAGTAAGTTTAAACTTAACTTTCAGTATTTCTTATTAATATTTTTTTACTCCTTTCTTTTTGTGTTTGCCTAAAATTTCTTTCCTACTACTTTATTTTCAAGTTTAAGTATTTTTTTACCAACATACAACTGCTTTGATCTTTTCTATCCCACTCTGATGGTCTGTGTCTTTCAGACTTGACTATATTCTGTGGTTTTTTTTTCCATTCAAAACTTCTTAATTCATCTGGTTACTTTTGTTTGTTTGTTTGTTTGTTTCATTTTGTTTTGTTTACTGGGGATTGAACTAAAGAGGCGCTTAACTACTGAGCCACATCCCCAGCCTTTTTTTTATATATATTATATTATTATTTTGTATATTATTTTTGTATGTACCTCAGAGTCTCATCAAGAGTTGCTTAGGGCCTCACTAAGTTGCTGAGGCTGGCTTTGAACCCCAAGATCCTCCTGGCTCATCCTCCCAAGCTGCTGTGAGAATGTGCATATCACCATATCCAGCTATGTTTACTTTAATTTTTTTTTATTTTTATTTATTTATTTTTTTTTACCTGGTGGTGCTGGGGATCGAACCCAGGGTCTTGTGTATGCAAGGCAAGCACTCTACCAACTGAGCTGTATCTCCAGCCCCCTATGTTTACTTTTCGTGTTTGCTGGTTTAATGAAGTTACCTGCTAATCCATTGTTCTCCCACACTTGGAAATTTTATTTTGCTAGTCTATGAAGTTCCTTTTCCCAGCTCTCTCAGTTAAACAAATAGAGCTCTACTGGTACTTTAAAGCAATATATCAACTGGCTTCAGCTGCTAAGACACACTGTTTTTTACTCCCTAAACAGTTGGTAAAAATTATCATTTTTACCAACTTCTCCCTCTCCCCCATGGTGAGGTGAGACCTTTAGAGGATTCTTTTCTCTATACTCCTGCCTACAATGAGACCTTTGAAACATTATTACCCCCTTTCTCTACCAACCGCAGCAACTAGATTAAATTAAATTATTTATTGTATATAGGAGCTTCCCTTAATGTTGCCCTTTCTGTTTCAAAATTTCCTAGAACTTAAATATCACAGTCTATGCCTGAGCATTTACAGAGAAGTTCTAACACACAAGGATGTACTGCAGATGTATTGCTCCTTCCTGTTTTTGTTCTCTTTGCCTCTCTCAGTTCCAGGCCTGTTTTCTGGTTTTATTTGTTGCTTGGCTAGTCTTTTCTTGGGTGTTTTCCTCACACATAGTGTTTGAGTAAGGTACTTCCTGCATTCCTTTGTCCTCAAGTGTCTCCCTCTCATCCTGGTTCACCCATCTCAGCAGGGCCCAGGGTCGTTGAGTTGTGGTGCTTCCCTCCAAGGTCCATGGGTACTATTTCATTTTCCATAGATGAGCCTACCATGCCACTGTGGTTTTTCTTCCCTTTATAGACAATTTGTTCTTTACACGTAGAACCTCGTAAGACTTTTCTCTTTAATCTTAGAGTTCAGGAATCTTACCAGAATTTCCTTTTCTATGTGTCTTTTCTATTCAGCCCAGAGTTGCCTTCTAGAGTCTTACTGCCTGGGTTCTAATTCCAGCTCTGGCATTTACTAGCTGTGAAGTTTAAGGCACACTTGACCATTCTGTGCTTCAGTCTCTTATTTGCAAGATGAAAGTGATATATAGGATCTTGTCAAGACTAAATGAATTAGTATTAATAAAAGAAATTAGAACAGTGCCTGACATATAGAAAATGTATAATTCTTCATTACTGCTATGGCAACAATATGAAGTATATAATTATTTATTATCATTTATTATTTCTCCAGCCCAGGTACTCTTCTCTGCCATTATTTATTTAACTATTATTGCTTCAGGTATTTAGTGAATTTAACCTTGAACTCTTCTCTTTTTTCCTACTTCTGAAATTCCTGTTATGAATATATTAAGCTTCTTGACCATCCTCCAAATCACTTATCCTTTTTTACATAATTTCCATCTCTTTGTATTTTGGCTCTGCTTTTCAAGTTATTCTTGAACATTATAATCCAAGTTATAATAAAAATCACAGAGATATGTTCTACTTTAATTCACTTATTAATATTTTTAGTTTAAAAATCATAATATTTTAGCTTTAGAAGAATATGTGTGTCACATTTCACTCTCTTACTTTCTTTATTCAAATCTTATGTGGTTCCTCTAGCTCTATTACATTAAGAAGGGAGCCACAACCCCTTAGATCTCCTATTATTTTTCTTTGTTGACTTACTAGGGCCAAAGTAGGTTTGCTAAAGTATTTTCAGTGGTTGAAATCCTGTAAACGGTATCACTGAGCATCTCTTGGTTCAGCAGAAATGGAGTTAGAAGTAGAAGATGTACTTTCAGATTACCATGTTCCCAGAACCCATGCTTTTCTTTATTTGATTTAAATCTTGATCTTAAATTTCATTTAGGGTAAGGAAAGAAGAATGATTACAATTTATTGTTTTCTAAACTGCTAGTGTTTCCAATAGTTTATATTTAAATATAAATTTATATAACCACCTACAAATTTGGAATGTTACTTTTATCTTAATATAAACATACATGTTTCAGAAAAATCAAAAACAAATGATCAAAAATATAAAAACATAATGCTTTATAAGAATTTTTCCTTACTATCAGTTTGTCTTGCTTGTACCAAGAGTTAGAAATGTTTCTCCAAATGTCTCTCCTTACCAACAAAGGAGGTCTGAGAAAGCATGTAAGAAGTAAGAGGAAGCACAACTCAATACCAGCCTGATCCAGTGCCCCCTTGGAGCTTGTACCCAGAGCAGTGCCCACTCAGCTCAATCTTGGGTAGGCCAATGCAACTAAATATTTAATTTCAAAATAGGGATGTCAGGTATTTTTCACATTTCTCATAAGTGTTTCTCCTTTTTATATACCTTAACAAGTAAGGAAAATCAAGTTCTGTAAGTCTTGGTGGTTATTGTGAGCATCAGAAATACCCTGATTTGGGAGTATTCTGTGTCTACAAATGACATGAGTAGAAAAGATATTAAGGTAAAATGAAGATACCTAAAGCTATCTTAGGTCAGATTACCTTATTGAACACAGACCTTGGAGGAGGAAGAACACAATGTCTGGCACATTTTAAGATCACAATTCATTCTTATCTTATTAATTTTAAATAAATTGCCATATAAATCATTATTTTGTTAACTTACTCCCCTTCCATATTATATTCTCCTTAGAATTTAGTGCCAGGGAAATGTTTCTCTCTCCTGAAGAATACTTTGCTTCTTTCCATTAGGTACCCTCTGATTCTGACCGATACCTGGCTGTCCACTGAGGACCCTGCTTCCTCTATAGACATATCAAGTGATGGATGTTTTTTCTCCCACATCTGAGTACTACTAGGCCTGAAGGTGGGGTAGGTGTCCTGCTTGCTCCTTATCTCCCCTTTTGGATAATTGATTCCTTCTTTCTGCCCAGAGTCTCTCAGGGCCCTTGAAGCATATGCCTTTAAAGCATCCCAGTCATGTATAAGATCTCACTCCCTGTCATCTTATTAGAGTATAAACCATATTCCTGTCATAATTTGTGTGTGTGTGGTACTGAGGATCAAACTCAGAGCCTCCTGCATCTAGGGAAATACCCATTCTGCCACAGAGCTACATCCCCAGATCTGTAATTCTTTATGATCTTCATAGCAAGTCGATAACCTGCCTCTTAGTTTTTTGGTTTCCCTTCCTCTAAGAATCTGCTCTAGGTGGATCTTAGGCCTTATCATATCCATAACAATATCCCTTCCAGATTTCCCCAAACTCTTGTTTTTAGCCTGGCATGATGGTATGCATCTATAATCCCAGCTTCTCAAGAGGCTGAGGCAGGAGGATCACTTGAGCCCAGGAATTCAAGGCCAGCCTGTGCAACATAGTAAGACCAGCTATGATTCTGCTTTTAACCACCTTCTCTTTCCTGTTTGCTTCCACTGGTTCCCTAAGGATTTCACCAGGGACCTCCAGTCATTTGACCTACTATTTGTCACTCACCACCTGTCCTCATTCCCTCCTTTATAGCTTATATCCTATGCTCTGTCATTATAGTCATTATATATTATCTTATCCACACTTATAACTCCTCTTTTTTTTTTTTTGTCTTTTTTCTTGTTGTTAGAGCATTATGGTTACACATAGTCATTGGGTTCATTCTGACAAAATCATACATGCATGAACTTTGATTTACTCCATATTGGTCCCCGTTTCCCCCACTTTCTGTCCCCTCCTCCCTTTATTCTCCCCCCTTGACTCTACTGATCTTTCTTTTGCTCCCCCCACACACTTTTCTACCCCCATACACATTTCTCCTTATTTTGCTCAAGCTTCCACATATGAAAAAAAACATTCGACCCTTGATTTTCTCAGTCAACTTATTTCACTTAGTACGAATTGTGCCACTATAAACATAGATGTGGCTGGATTGCTATAGTAGGCTAATTTTAGTTCTTTTGGATGAATAACAAGAAATTGGATAGCTAAGTTATATGGTGGTTCTATTCCTAGTAACTCTTCCTTCTTATTTAACTTAAATATTAGAATCAGGACAGAACTTCAGCATGTTCTACTCACCAAATCTACCAGCATATCGTAATCTGTGCCCACACATTCTGCCTTGTCATTACAGGAGTGAACTGTCTGTTTGACTCCAGTACTTGGGTACTGGATTCTGTTTCCTCTTGTGGATTGAGGATGTTTCTCTGCCTCCTTTTATATAAGAAAAAATGTGCTGCCTCTACTTCCATTCTTCCCATTCTCTTGTGTACACCCATTTCCATCAGGCCTCATCACCAGTATGCCACTGAACCTGCTCATTTTCTTTTAGCAAGTTACCATTGTCCTTGAAACAGATTTTTTCACTTTGTTTCAGAACCTCCACTGTAGGTTCCCCTTCTACATTCATATACAATGCTTCTCATTATGCAGATCTAGATCTTCATCTTCTAAACGTCAGTATTTAGGTCTCCAAGACCTAACATATAGTCTTCCCTTTTAACTTCCCTGGATGATCCCATCAGTTCCACTGTGTTAAATACCATTTATAAATATAGACTGTTTTGTAAAAAGAGCACTCATATAGTCTGTTACCAAATTAATATCTGTGACTTGAACCCTTAAACTCTAGATTCATGCATCCACTGACTCAGTTGATGTCTATACTTGAAGGTCTGAGAGGTTTCTCAAAATTAACATGTCCAGAGAATTGTGCTCTTGTCTCCTCCAAATCTTTTCCTCCCCAACTCTTTTCCCGCCTCGGTAACAGGCAGCTGTTCTCCACTGCTCAACTGAAAAAGGTTGAGTCATTCCATACTGTTGTCTTTCTTTAATATTCCACATCTGACTCTTCCTTATGGTACTACTTTTAAAATGTATTCAGAATCCAACTGCTTTTAATCCAGGCCACCATGGTCTCCTGCCTGGACTCCCTAACTAGTTTCTGGTTAGCACTCTTAGCACTCTATGGTCTGTGGTTGGCAGAGCAGACAGATGATCCCCTTGAAATATCCTGTCTCCTAATATCATGTGACTCCTTTACTCAGACCCTCTACTAGTTGCTCATCCTTAAAAATAGAACTAGAATCCTTACAGTACCTACTAGATCTGACATGATGTGATCTCCAGAAAGGGAGTGATGAGTTGTTCCTCCAAATTCCTATTCTCCTCCTAAGTACAGATAAGATTACTTTCATGGATCCTTGAAACCATGTGTCCATTGACTTCAGCCATTTAAGTGCTAGTGGAAATGATGTGGCACCTTTCGGCACAATTTGTCATGCTTTCCCTCCCTCTGCCATGGTTCTGGCAGTACTCTGAGAGTGACTGCTTTATCAGCCTGGGTTCCAGAGTGAGGAGCAGAGGCCCTGAATATCCTACTGCAGGTGTGTAATATGAGCTAGATGTTGTACCTGCAGCATACCCCATCCAGCTCTCCTTGATGGCATCCCCTGGCTACTTCCCTGATGATATCGCCATCTTTTTCCTCTCTCTCATTTTGCTTTGGCCACAGGGGCCTCCCTCCTAATCTTCAAACATGGCAAACACATTCCTGCTTTAAGGTTTTAACTACCTGAAATGCCTATTAAAAGTATAAAAAGGAATCTTTACTCCTGAAATATGGACTCTCCAGGTTGGAAGAAGACTTGTTTTATGGTAGACCTATTATGGTAGATTTAATAATACCTAATTTGTATTTCTGTTCATAGCCTGGTGCATTTGTTTTAGATCCAATGTGCGGACTTGGAACAATACTTTTGGAAGCTGCTAAAGAATGGCCAGTAAGTTGTAAAGTTTTGTGTAAACTAAGTAATGTATTTACTTTAATCAGCATGTGTGATCTCTTGCCAGTTATTTACAAGTAGATTGTCTGTTTAGGGATTATTTTTAATTATATGAGTACCATTCCCTGTTATTAAAATCGATTCTGAAGAGTTGATTAAATTGTTGTGTTACTTCTTTTCTCTGTGACAGGATTCCAATAATTAATCATGGGGATTAGATTATATTAATCCCCAAAGTGTTTAGACATTTGTAATGGTAAAACATTAATAGATTTTAAAATTTTAATAAAAACTTTTAATCTTTAATTTATATAGTATTCTTATAAAAGAACACTATAAATTTTGTTATAACTTGAATTTTTTTAATTATTGATATAATTTTCACCATTTGAGAAAACACAAGATGTCCTTAACTACTGAAATATCTAACAGTTGTATTTATACTGAAAACATGACTTTCTTCCCCCATAGAGTGCGTACTATATGGGTGCTGATGTCAGCGACTCACAGTTACTTGGCGCATGTGACAATCTGAAAGCTGCAGGCCTTAAGGATAAAATTGAGTTGCTTAAAGTCTCTGTTATAGGTAAGATAATAAAAGCAAGATCATTTTTCTATATATAAAGGCTTAATTTCTGTACCTTATAATATATCTATGGGGCTAAAACTCAGATTACTTCCAGAATTGTAACTTTTTAATTTTTCAAAAGGTTTATGATTGAGAACCAACATTTAAAACATAAGCATTTAAGTAAAAGCATGCCTTTTTAAGTAGTATTTGTTGCATCTCAATTATTCTTATTTCATAATCTGGGACCAGGTAATATAGGCATTAGACAGCAGTATAATAGTATAATAGTAATAGTAATAATTTTAATTTATTTCAGATAAACTATATGAACTGTTCTGAATTATTTTTCCTTCTTCCTACTTCACATTAGATAGTACCCCTGATATATACAGAAATAAGTAACTACCTGTCACAGTTTGCGAAACTAGTACTTTCAAGAAGTCAGGAAGGCCTGGGGCAAACCTGGACCCTGGACCATTGGTCACCTGTGAGGTAGAGAAACAATTGCTGCTTCTTTACTGATATGAAATCAGCAGTGACAGACTTGACTAGGAATCAGATCTGTAGAGTCCTATCAAAATAACGTTTCTCTAATATCCATGATATTCAGATTATTATAAAGTAACCTCACATTTCTTATTTCTTCTGTTTCTTTAACACACCTCTCTTTAAAAATGTCATGTTTCATTTCCAGCTAAGGAATTTGAGTTTTCTTGGCACTGCATAGGCATCAAGCCTATAATCAAGAGGAACAAAATATCGTTTAAAATTTTTTGTTAAAATAGAAAAGTAGGAAAGATGAGTATCAACAGATCAAAACATGAGGATAACTTTTGTGTAAAAGCATAATAAAGCAGCCAAGTTCATTGAGATCTCACAGTTGATTGTGGCCAGTGACTGCATTTTAGACATTCTGCCAATAGTCCAATAGGACTCTGTGCATAAGACACAAGTTTCCAAAGTAAACTGAAGGACCATCAATCAGACTGAAATCAGCTTTCACAGACCCTAATTTCCTTAAAAATGTTTCTGAGACCTTTAAGGAAACTGGAATCATTTCATCAGCTGCTCCAGAGCAGTGGTTTGGAACCTTTATATTTGCCAGAGCACCCTGTAGGCACAAGGAAGGGAGCATAGAGCTGCCTACCAGCCCCCCACTACACCCCTTCACTTTTATCTGTTTTCATTTTGGAGGCATTTCCCATGAAGTGTTACTTTAAGGAAAAAAAAAAAAAAAGCAAAGGCACTCCACTGTTTTTAAAACAAAAGGAGTTCTCTGTGGCATCAGGTAACCAAACAAATCCTAGTTTTTGAAAGTATCCCTCTAACTCCCATGGTAAGAATAGACTAGTGGAGCAAGGGTGGAAGCAAAGACTGTTGCAGTAGTCCAGTAAGAAAAGATGGTGGCTTGGACCGAATTGGAGTACCTGTAGGTGACAGAAAAGATGTCAAGTATTTATCTTTGAAAGTAGATCAAACAGGATTTGTTGTTGGATTGGGCAATGGAGTGTGAGGGCAAGAATGAGAATAATAACTTTCTGACAAGCATTCAGAGGGTGCAGGGAAGCCTGAAGGAAGAACAAGTTAAGAGTTTTGAACCTTTTCAGTTTTACATGATTATCAGATATCGTGTAGAGAAGATGTCAGGTTAGTAGCCCAGCATGCAAATCTGGAGTTGGAGAGTACAGATAACATTTAAATCCATGAGATCATTTAGGGAGTGAGTATAAACAGTGAAGGGAAAGAACTGCGCTCTTGAGCACTCTCAGATGCTTTGAGTGCTAGAACTGAGTATCTAGTAGAGGAATAGCCAATGATGTGAGAGGATCCAGGGAAGAGAGAGGGTAACCAGCTGTGGGACCCACTGCCAGTCGGTGAAGTAAACTGAGGCCAAGGGTTGTTTCTATGGAGCAGCAAGAACATAGGCCTGCTTGGAGTGGGCATGAGAGGTGGGAGAGAAGAACTTAGAGATGGCTAGTTGAATTTCTGTGGTTTTTGTTTTGTTTTGTTTTGTTTTTTCTGTACTTGGAATTGAACCCAAGACCTCGAGCATGCAAGGCAAATCACAGAGCCCCCATGAGGGCTAGTTTAGATCATTCTCAGGAGCACTTTAGTTGGTAAGAAGAGCAGAGAAATGGGGTAGTAACTGAAAGGAAGAATATTGGGAATCAAACAGAGTGTGTTTGTTAGTTTGTTTTCAGTGCTGGGGATCAAACCTATGGCCTTGCACATGCCAGGCAGGTGCTCTACCACTAAGCTACGTCCCCAACCTTAAATGAGAATTTTTTTAGAAGATAGAAACCTAAATTAATTTTAGGTACAATGTGTTGGTATGTCAAAAATCAATGATAAAATAAAGAGGAAGAATATAGCATTGCAGAAGAGAAAAAAAAATTGCTCATTTACCATCCTCGAGGCGCCTGAGAAGGGAGGTATCCCAGTGCACAAGTGGTGGTACATGCACTCCTAGGACAAGAGAAGGCAGAGAGGAGGACAGTAGAGTTGTGATGGATCACACCAAACTAGCAGCAGAGGTTAGTGCACCTTTCCAGAAGCCTTTGTTGATGTATCACTATTTTTATTACAGTTTTTAAAACTTTGCAAATTTAGTTTGTTTAAATGCCTTTCTTTGACTATTACTGAGTTGAATGTTTTTCATGTAATGTCATTTATAGATTTTTCTTTTGTGAATTACTTGTTTTTAGAATGGCTTTCAGGAAGAAAGACTAAAGCATCTATTGTAAGCTGTTTTATCATCATAGACTTTAATGGTGAATTTCAGTCTGGAGATCTGGAGATCTTACTAAGAGAGCCAGTATTAACTCTTTAATTATCAGCCCTCTGTTTCATATCTCTGTGTTAGATGTGGATATTCTAACTAAATTATTTTTTCTGTTTGGTTCTGCCTTTAACGGTTCTCATCATAAGTACAATTTAGAATGCTGAGACCCATGAATCCCTTTTTAACACTGACAGATTTCAGGATCTCACACCTATTGACTGTTGTAACTAAGAACATGTGTGAATTCTGGCTTTATTGTTGTTTCTTTTCTGTGTGGCCTTCTGAGAAATCTGAACCTCTTTGTATTCTTTGTATTTACAAGATTATTATTATGATAATAATACCTGCTTTCTGAGGCTTTGGTGAGGATTTATACATTAATCCATATGGCATAGTGCCTAATACATATTGTGAATTAAAGACCTCTGTTATGTGTGGTTATGTCGAAGACATGTGGAAATGTGCACTAAACTCTGCTGCTAGTTTGTGACCTTTCTCAAAACTACTGTCCTCCTGTCTGCCTTCTCCAGTCCCAGAGCATGTCTCACCACTTGTGCACTGGGATACCTCCCTTCTCATGTGCCTCAAGTAGAGCAAATGAGCAATTTTTATATTCTCCTGCAACATTATATTCTTCTTTTTTATTTGATCACTGATTTTGACGTACAAACACATTATACCTAAAACATCCATCATTATTTATGTTTCTACACAATCTCATTCTCTCTATTGTGCTTTAATGACTTTATTTTTTTCTACTTTTTAAAGTAATATTCACTTTGTTTTATAACTCTGTACTACTATAAAAAAAGAAATTGTATGTATTTATTCCTGAGTTTTAATCATCATGGCAGTTAAGAATCAAATGAATATTATGTTATAAGTTATCTTAGGAAATGACAGTTAATCACTGTTTGGGTTTTAAACTATGGATATATGTACATTCTCAATATAAGATGAAAGCTGTAACAATCAGATTTGAGCCAGATAAACACATTTATGATTTAGTTAAAATATGAACAGCATAGGTAGGAGCTGGGCACAGTGGTACATGCCAATAATCCCAGGAGCTCTGAAGGCTGAGGCAGGAGGATTGTGAGTTCAAAACCAGCCTCAGCAAAAGCAAGGTGCTAAGTAACTCAGTGAGACCCTGTCTCTAAATAAAATACAAAATAGGGCTGGGGATGTGGCTCAGTGGTCAAGTGCCCCTGAGTTCAATCCCCCGTACAAAAAAAAAAAAAAAAAAAAAACAAGATAGGTAGGTAAAAAGGAATGTTTTCAGCATTCCTGATTAGACATTCTACAGGCTGTCACATGTCACATCAGTGGTAGAGTATAAAACAACAAGATTATTGCAACTACTGTACTTTGTTCTCAGGTGGCGTTTATTGCCAGTAGTAGGATGGGCTTTTTCCACCACATCTGTCCATGCACCATGCATGGTTACATTTTCCTTCATGCTAGTGCATTTTCCTGCTGCTCATCCTGCCCACGCTGCCTTGGCCCCTACTCTTTCAGCACAGCATCTCGTGGCCCATGCCATCTTCTACAAGATTTGTGAAGCTGCCCAACCACCTGATTTGGAGAGTCAGGGAAAGTGGAACCTGATTGTTGGGTTGTCCATGAAGTATGTGTAGGAAATAGGGGAAAGAAGCTCACCACCTAGAGAGTGTCCTGGCAGCAAAGGTCTTTTCCTTTGTTGTGCACTATTGTTATTGTGTGTATTGGATGATCATATGGTATCATTTTATTGTTCAGTAGCACTTCTATTTTATAATAAACTTTTTTAGCAGCAATAAATTTTTTAAACATGCATTTTAAATTAAAAAGTACTGAGTTTCCATTTCTCAAGAAAGCTAATGATGAACACATAACTTGAGTAAAATGTCTGTTGACATTTACCATCTACTATGAGGGCACAAATGAAAGAAATCTGTGCATGGCAGCATCTAGCATTTATTTCAAAACCTAGCAGTTATTTTAAGGATACTTGGCCAAAGCCAATTATTTATCACATGAAGCTGAAGAAAATGCATTTAAGTATCACTCCATGAAGCATAACTTTTCATTTAGATTAAATGACTATTCTTCTAAATTAATTTTGCTCATATTCAATTCCAAGTTTTCTCATGCGCATAAGCAAAATGAAACTATGGCTATTGATATTTTTTTAGCTCCACTAGAAGACCTTTGCAGAGAAATATTGCCAGTTTTGTAGCAACATCTTTGAATACTTCCAAACAAAATCAAATTAAGCCAATTCCAGTAGTAGTTCAGCTTTTCTCCCCTAATTCTTGGAAATGTAGATTTTTTTTCCTTGTGAAAAATGAAACATCCTTGTAAATATTACCATAAATTTAGTTCAGCATTGCATGTGTCTCCACTTATGCATTAATTTGGTAGACCAACACAGGAGAAAAATTCGTATCTTGCTAAAACCTACGGAGAAAAGTACCTGAAATTTAACATAGTACCATATAACTCGTAATTACCTCTGGTTTGCAGCCTTCTGTCAATTGATATAGAAACTTTAAGTTTTTAAAATAATCAGCACTTTATTTTTTAAACATATACAGAGTAATTGACTGCAAGCTATTTGTAATGAAGTTTTGCTTGAATGCAAAACTATACTGCAGTGTAGTGATACACTTTCTCTCTGTCATTAGTTGGGTTTAAAATTTGAAGCTTTTGAAGAACTACTTTGTAAAGCAGTCCTACAGTAGTGCTATAGGCTTTGCTTAAAAGATAAACAAGTTGCCTAATTTTGTTTTCATTTTGTTAAAAATCCATTGGTGATCTGTAATCAAAGATTTCAGCAAATGGACTAACAGAACTGTCGCTTTTGAATTTTTTTGTGAATTGCAGTTATTAAAAACAAAGTTGGCAACAGGAAGACATTTAAATCTATCTCTAAAAACACCAAGAAAGACATGAACACATTATTGCAAGCTCAGTAATCTTCGAGATTTAATTCTCAAATTCTGTAAATGTACTTTGGATATATTGTAGGAAGAATCTCTTGATGACTTTCATCATTTTAATTAGACATCTGTGTCTTCTAAAATGGAATGGAATGAAATTGAGAAGGCCTTAATTTTGCAGTATCTAAATTTGGCAAAACAAAAGAATAGTAGAGTCAACTTGAATTTTGTGTTGTGGAAATATTTGTCAAAGGCATTCTGGAAGGACTGTGAACTGGAGGACTGAAATCTTTACATTATCTATATGAAAAAAAATAGAATTGAGAAGAGTCAAGAGTATCTTCCATTTTGCAAAATTTGCTCTGATCTTTAGAGTTTCTTTAGCACATGTAAACAAAGTATTTCCTCAGATAAACATATTGTAATTTAAGAGAAGTTTTTAAACATGAAAGTGAAGCTTTGAAGATCACAGGCATTTTATTAAAAAGGCAACTTAAACTTCCTATTTTTAAAAACACTGTATTCTTCAGAAAAATACCAGTGATGACATGGGATTAGAAACTAATACGTGTACGAAGCTGGTCAGTGGGTGAATATATACCACAACTATTTTGCCTATTACTATTTTAAAAGTGCATGGATCCTTATTTTTAGGTTCCTCATATTAAACCAATAGTAAGTATTTTATAAGTATAAACTTTTCTTTCTAGCATCCTCATTCTTGGCAGTGTTCCTGACTGTACTATTGTATGGCAACCAATCCACATGCCACACTATATGGTGCTTATTTAATTATTATAGACTTCTGGATCAAGATGGCAGATTAAAATTTCAGTGAAGGATTTGCATTCTCTTACACTTAATTGAAATGAGAAAAAGAATAATAAACATAAAGGAAAAAAATCTATCAGCAGCAACTAAAGAAGGGAAAATGATCTAATGCAGTGAACTTAATTTTATTTTGGCCACAATGGAAATAAGCAAAGTTATAGAGCAATTGCCAATAGAATAGTGTTTATTTATAATGTTCTGAGATCCCTATTTATAAGGTTACTGAAGCAGAATGTGATGCAGAAATATTATACATAACTAAAATGTTATTTTTGAGGAGACATTTTCAATATGAAACAGTTCAGGCAACATTTCAGTAATAGGCTTTTGGCAGGGGGAATTTTTAATAAAATCCAGACATTTAAGAGATGAATCAGCAGAGGAACAGAGATTGAATTAATTTAAATATAGAACTAATTTTAAATAACTATGGGAATTATTGTTATGTGACAGACATCAAAGTAATAAACCTGGACACTCGAAAGAATAACAAACAACAGAAAGTATAGGAAGGAAACTAGGAAGAAGAATGTAATCAATTCTATAAAAGCCCTCAAACAACCTAGTCTTTGTTAAGTATATACATAAAAAAGGCCCATAAAACCTTCTGAAAGAAAATACCTGGGTGCCCTAATGAGTTTTAGGCAATTTTTACCCACTTTTTTCTCAGAAAAGGGGAAAATGGGCAGTTCTTTTATTCAAAGCAACTAGTATTTTAAAACTATTTTTTTCATGTTTTTCAATCATCCTGAAGAGATGTTTAAAAAAAATGATTTTTGCTTGTTTTGAGCTATTTCTATTTTAGTCTTTTCTCTTTAGTTACAGGTATACTCATAGGCAGTTTAAAGTATTTAATAATTAAAAAGCCTTTACTATGTATTTAGTCCTACAGGTTAGGTGCTCACAGTTTTAGAAGTTTTTTGAACTCTTTGAAGGATTCTGGCCCACTGGGCTCCACCTGACTGTCATCTCCTATAGACATCAGAGAGGACACTGTAAATAATAATTTAAAAACAGTGCCAGGCACTGTTCTAAATGTTTTCCCCCATTTATTAACTTCTAAGGTAGGCACTGTCATTCCATTTTACAATGAGGAAACTGAAGCAGTAGCCTCCCAGAGTCCTATAGGTAACTAGTCACAGAGCCAAACACAGCAGGCTGTCAGCCTGCACTGCACACCACAGCAACGGAAGTTCAGATTATTTCGTCCTTGGTTGGAAGATGTCACTGCTTAATTCTGGAACTTTTTAAAAAATTAGCCTTGTCTACCTATGTGAATTTTATTCCTTCTAAAGTTATTTATAAAGCAGTTTAGCAAATTATATAATATAGAAAAAATGGAGAACAACCAGAACTAAAAAAAAAAAAAGAAGAAGAAGATTGCCAAACCTGGACAAACTGGGCAACTAATAAACTAATTTACGGGTAGGTGCTGTGTGTGTATCAAGAGAAGAAAGACTTCTAATTAAGCAAAGTTGAGTATATCTTGTAGTTCCTTATATGTAAAACATTTGATCACTGTGATTTCCTTCGTTATTTATTGTCTTTAGTCATTTTGCAAAAAGTATAGAAAGGCTGAAATGGATGTGTTCAGTATCAGCACCCTAAAACACAGCACATGAAGTGAAACATACCTTGGGTGGGCTTTGGCTTATGATAGAATGCTTACCTGGGATTTAATTTCCTGGTTAGGTTTAAAAGATACTACTGCCTTTTTTCTAACACTCTGCTTTTCTGCTGCTCTCTCACAAGGTTTAGGATTAGGAGACAGCCAACAAGTGGTCATTAGACTTTGCCAGATAAGAGGAATTTTTGTTTTGTTTTTAAATTTCCTGCCAACCAAAATTTATATGATATTTAACAAAGATTATTTAAACTTTATTGCATTTCTATAGGATTAGGTTGCATTTTTGCATTGAAATTTGAGAACCCTTCTACCTTATGCATACTTGATTGACTTGATGGGTGGGAAAGGGGAAGACACACATAGGAAACCTGGGTGCGAAGGTTGGGTATATTGCCTTATAGAAATGTAATGCTGAGAAGAAAATGTTAAGAGGAGCAGGAAATTTCAATTTAATGATCAGATACCGTATTTAGTTTTGTTTAGAGATGATATTCATGGTGTTGGTTTTTGATCTTATAGCTTTTTCTCTAATCTTAGGGCTTTTATAGATATTTTTAACTTTTTAAGTTCCCCCTGAAAAATATAATGATAGTTGTGGATTCTCTCTTAGAAACTGAAACCTATCTTACAAAAATTTATATACAATAATGAAAGGGAAATAGAATATAGTGTTGTAAAAACATTTTTTAGACAACATATTTCTTCCTGAATCCCACAACTCTCTATGCATGTATTATGTCTAGAAAATTGAATTTTTCTGGTTAATTTAAAATTCCACTAAACTTACATCATTTTATAACATTTGAAAACCCATTTTTTCAAAGGACAAAATACAGTAAATAACTATTAATCTTTAGATATTTGGAAAGCATTTTAAGATCATGTGGTTACCTCAAAGCAATATTACCAACCCTAAATTTTATTCAACATGCAAAACTAATTGTGTACTTCAGTTTTCTCATTATCTATGTTATAATATTTGACCTTACTATAATAGGATTCTCTGATTTCTGTATTTCAGAATTGCCACTGCCTTCAGACAGTGTTGATATTATTATTTCTGACATTCCATTTGGAAAAAAGTTTAAATTAGGAAAAGACATCAAAAGCATTCTACAGGAAATGGAAAGGTGAGTTGCTGAATTTATTTTCATAATTTTTTAGCTTCTGGGAAAATATATCATTGCTCTTAACATCTGATTGCATTATTTTTCCCAGATTTTTATGGTTTAATTTCTTAAGATTTCAAGTCAGAAGTTTATAATTGAAATAAATGTTATTCCATATCATCTTGTATTATAAATTTTATTCAGAAAAAAATTTTTTTCTATTTCATTCACTGGGCTACATAATTTATATATATGTTTCTAATCCTCACAAAAACCAACACTGTACAGATAAGAAACTGAATCCCAGAAAGTTGAACTTCCTCATGATCACATTGATGCTAAAACCACTGAAAGGAATCCTGTCACAAGACGTAGTGAACAAGGCCAGCATTGGCTGTGAAATGAAAGTGCAGCACAGGACATTGTTCATCTCAGGGCTTCTAATTTGACATCAGGGGATATAATTTAATAGAGGGGTTCAAACAGTGAGATCTAGATATGTATTTTTCTCATTATTTAAGTTGATAAAGGCGTGAACCTAGAATGCTACAGGAATGAATAGACACCAAAAAAGATCAATTCATGTTAAGTTGTTTCATATGGGCTTTTATTTGATATACTAGGATAACATAAATGTCATAAGTCTACCATGTGAATAATGTGTCACATATTCTTAAAAAATGAACACATATTAGAGAAACTTCAGTGTCAAGGATGACAGTACACAAAATTAAAGCTTGACTCAAAGTCTAAGCCCAAGTCAGAGCCATCTCACTGTGTCTTGTAAGTTGGGTGCTTCACACTTCTTTTTGAATTGTCTTATTTCTAAGCCACTTCCCCTCCTGCCCAGTTACCTAACTTTTAGGGACCTTTCTTTCTGAGCACCAACTCTTAATTCAGACATCTCCTGAAACCCATATACTCCCTGCTTCCTAGTATCACATTCCCCTACAGTTTCACATTGCATATTTTGCATTTTAAAATTTTGCATTTTAAAATCATTGCAGAACTTTTTTTTAAATATTTATGCCCCACTTTCTCAGCTACCCTCTACCTAATTTAACTGATCTGAAGTAGGACCTGGATGTCAGTACTTCTTTCTTTCTTTTTTTATTTATATATGACAGTGGAATGCATTACAATTATTATTACACATATAGAGCACAATTTTTCATATCTCTGGTTGTATACATAGTATATTCACACAAATTTGTGTCTTCATACCTGTACTTTGGATAATAATGATCATCACATTCCACCATCTTAATTACCCCATGACCCTCCAACCCCTCTGCCCTATCTAGAGTTTGTCTATTCCTCTCATGCTCCCTCTCCCTATCCCACTATGAATCAGCCTCCTTATATTGAAGAAAACATTTGGCATTTGTTTTTTTGGGATTAGCTAACTTCACTTAGCATTATCTTCTCTAACTCCATTGGATGTGAGTACTTCTTAAAAAATCCTAGTATAATTGTTGTGCAAGCAGGATTAATAACTAAACCTTTGAGCCTAATAAGGTAATTCACCATTTATATCATTAACCGATTCACAGTGAGATATTAATATGTGATCAGTGACATGCATTTAACCTGGACCTTTTCAGAACAAAGATGACTGACTCAACCTAACTCAAAATCTAGTGCTGCCTATTTTATGTATCTGCACAAGTCAGGAGTGAACGGGTAGGAATTTGAATAGACAGTCCTTTCAGCACTAGTAAATTATACCAGCCTGACATTATCTAGGCTGTTTTTTTATTTTATTCCAAGTAATTGAAAGTGAAATAATGATAGATTTGACTACCCTTTTACCATGGCAGTAAATTTAAATATTTACCTGAGAATCCAAAAGATGAATAGTCAAATTTCCTGCATAATTAGAGCACCTCCGTAGGACCAGTTATATAAGGGACTTTTCCATCTTCTGTACCCAGGCTTCCTTGCCACCTGCCCCAACCTCTGTGATCTGACTTTCAACTTCTTGTGGTTTGAGGTTTGATACAGAAAAGACAGGATGCTAGGGTTAAGAGAACAGCTTTGGAGCCAGGCTGCCTGGGTTCTAGTCTTGGCTCTAACTCCTCATAGTTCTTCAGTCATAGGCATACTGCCTGACTTCACACCTTGTGCATAATCTTTAAATCTTAACACCTACCTTGCAGCCTTGTTCAGAGGATTCAGGAGATTTAAAGCTTTTAGAACAATGCTGGACATCTAGAAAATGCTCAGTATCCGTTAGCTCTTGCCTGATTTTTTTAGTGTAAACTACTTCAGATCTTTTGGGAAGGAAGTGGTGATACATATAAAAATTTAAGTACACATAACCTCTCCCAGTGATTTACTGATGATTTAAGGCCTTATATAGGAATTGAAAGAGATGGGGAGTTTTATTAATAAAAAGAAGAAAAAATTACAAGAGGTCAGTAAACCTGTTCATAATAAGCAGTGGAAATAGCTGATCCTATATGTAGTATCATACATGCATCAGAATTAAAGTTTTTCAGACAAATGATTACTCTATTGACTTGAATTAGGCATTCTCAGCTCAATTATTTCCTCTTTTAATTCATTTAAATATTATCCATTTCATGAATACAGAGCATTTTGAGGAATTTAGGGAAGTTTAATTTGGGTTTTCTTTCTAAATATAGCCATGTAAAATATATGAGCAAAATTAGAAATTCAGCTTGCTCAGCTTGAAGATGGAGGCAGTCCTATGTGACAAAAAGACATGAGATGATCAGGGAAGAAGCAAAATTTCAGTGAATTTAGAAGTTGAGAGAGAATAAAAAGAGACCACAGATGTTTGGAGAATGTTTGAGTGAATACTGAAGGAAAGGTGTTTTCAAGGACTGTGAGTAGGGCAGATCACCTGGAGCAGAGGACTTAGTACGTGGGTAAGACCTACTATATTTCATGGTCAAATAATTTAGAATTATTCATGTCATCTACTCTGGTCTTGCAGGTCTCTCTTTTATCTTGTTTGATACAGAGTGTTCCCAACTTATGAACCACAAAATTTCTTTTCAAGAAATAATATCATTATCATCATCAAATACCCCATATGCTAGTGTTCAAAGGGATACAGTTTGGGAAATATTGCTTTGTAATTTTTGAATAGCTTTCTTAGTGAGAAATTATATGTAAATGAAAATATGCCTACAAAATGTTAAATTTCCATGTGAGTTTTACTTTCTTATTGCCTCCATTATTTAAAAAAAATTATAGTAAATAAGTTGGTGATAGGCATCCTGCCTTGTACTTCGGTATAAATAGATACTTGTTAAATAGAATCATTGTTAATTTACTGTATCTTGTTTTTTTCCCACTCAGCAGTATGTCATGAATCTCCTTTATGATCAGTTGTATTGTACATTATAATTTCCAATAATTGTCACAGTATTATATGTGTTACCATTATGTAACCAATACTTATGGATGTAGGTAATCCTCAATTTTTTTTATTTTAATAAAGAACAATGCCTTGAACATTTTTACAGTTTTTCAAACTTACTATATGATCAAGTTGCTTAAAACCAGTATCTTAGTTTTTTCATGTTTAAAATTACAATGCTAACCAGCCATACATAAAAGGACAAATCAGAGTGTTAAATAATATGTAATACAAAATATTTTAAATGGTGCCTAGTACATGATAAGTGCTCAATAAATATTTGCTATCATCACATGATCAATATTATTCTACTACTGCTGTTATATCTTAGAATAATTTCTTAGAAGTGAAATAGATGTATAAAGGTTATGTACATTTTGTATTTTTGATACATTATTGATAGTTACTGTTCCAAAACATTTCCCTCTTTAAGAGTACTCATTTTCTCATAATCTCAATTGTTTATTTTCATCTTTGTTAATACAGTGGGTAGAAGGGTTATATCTCATGTATTATTTTAATTGTAATGTATGTGTTTAGAGACATTTGTATGTGTTCTTGCTTGTGTCCCATGGTATACAACTGCATCTGTCTTCATCCCACCTCCTTGTCTCAGGAGAAGTCTCTCTTCTGGCCAGGGTATCCTGCTCATTCCCTCCTTCTCAAGGATAGCACTCTGCCCACTTCTCATTCCTACCTTCAGCTTAATTTTCTCCTCATTTTTTTCCCAGAGAATTGGCCATTTTTCCCCATATACTTTGTGAGTATTTACACAGTTCATCACTGCACGAGGTCCTGAGGATAGATACAGGCATCGACTAGGACAGAACAGGCCCCAGACCGCCCTGTGTGGGAAGATGGATTGTTAATGAGTCGACACACATGGTCATTCCGGATCATAAGTCAAATAAAATAGGATATTTTGCTGGAGAGTGAAAGAAGAGTAGTAGCTACCAGAGACAGGTAGAAAGTCAGAAAGACTGCTCCATAGAGGTGACATTTGAACTCTGGGACTTTAATGAGAAAGCACACAAGGGATGAGAGTTAAATGCACAGCAGACAGCAGAACCAGCAGTGCCAAGGCGAGCAGCAGCGGCTGGTGAGGTCGAGCAGCTGAAGGAAGGTCACTGCGGAGGGAGGCAGGCAGCAGCCTAGGTGAGGTTGGTTGTGGAGGGAGCTTGAACTGACTGAAGGGCGAGGAGCAGCTGGAGAATTAGCAGGCATTGGCATCTGTCTTCTGTGTGGAAACTGGGAAGGAGAGTGGGAGGGGTACTAAGAATGGAAATAAGGCCTGTCTATCAGGAGATTGTTACTAAGTCCAGACAGAATATGAATATGCAGATGAACACGTGAAACAGTGTGGAGACAGAATTATCTGGGTTTCCTGGTGGATTCGATGAAAGAAAGCTGCCTTCGCGCTTCAGTCTCTCCCTGTGACCCTTGGTCCTCTAGCTTCCTTACCCGTATAACTAAATTTCTCAAACTGTCCACTCTTGATATCTCTGCTTCCTCACCTCCCATTCTCACTCAGCCCCAGCAGACCCATGTCTATCTGCTCTTGTACTCATCTAGGCTTGCTGTCCCTAGGTTCTCTGATGACATCTTATAATCCTGGTCCTTGTTAGTCCTGTAGCATTTGACACTGTGAGACCATCCCCTTCTTGAAACTACATCTTGGGCTTCCAGGACATCACAGTTGTCCAGATTGTTCTCTTATGATATCTGTTCATTGTGCTCCTCTCCCCTGACCTTCCTTAGACCTCTTATGTCTTCCCTGGTCTTTTTTCTCTCTTACTCTGTTGCCACCCAGATGACCCCCTCTGCCCTATGGCTTTGTCTGCCTTTCACTATTGAAAGCTCTTGTCCCTCTACCTCAAGCCTGGTCTTTCTCGGTGCTTCCAAACTGAGTACCCTGCTCTCTGGGAATCTGCACTGTGCGTTCCTCAGGCACTTTCTAAACTGAACTCTGCTCTTCCTACTCTTCCTCCTCTTAACCTCTGTTTTCCTCATAAGGCTGGTAGCTTTCAGTGACCCTCCACCTCACGCCTTCCTGCGGCGTCTCACCTCTTCTGCCTCCAGCCACCTCCCTAGCTCCAGCCTACAACTTCCTGGCTCAGTCCTGCTTGTCCTTCAGCTCACCACACAGACATCTCATCTTTGGGGAATTTTCCCCTCTCCTGTGCCTGGATTGGGACCCACCTCGTGTGTTTCCAGGGCCTTTACATGTGCCTTCATGGTGGCCTTTATCACCCCCTGCACTCCTCACGTGCCTCTCCCCCAGTGCTCAGTAAATCTGCACCTTGTCATGGTTCCACCTGAGGCTGCTCAGACTTCAGCGGAGTAAATGAATCCTCCTCAAAGGGCGATAGTCACGGTCTGCCCCGCTTTGTCTGAGCTTCCCTTTGCCATCTCTTTGTTCATGTTCTAACTCCTCCCTTGTGACTTTCTTCTGCCGTCAGCCTCCTGCCTACTCAAATATGCTGATTCTGTAGACTCTGTCACTCGCCTTTTTCTCTGTACAATCATTTATTAGAATGTGACTACAAATTACTTTGAGGCTTGCCTTTTAAATAGAGTAAAAATAGATAATTAAAGCAGATTTGTACTAGAGATTCAATAATTACTATAATGAATATGCATTATGGAAGATACTACCTAATTACCAAAAATCCTTGTATTTAAATAGAGAAAATTAAATTTCAAATTAAAAATAACTATTTTAAATAAAGCAGGATTGTTTGTTGTCTAAAAAGAAAGAAGTACTCATCCTAATTACCCCTTTCTTTGTCACAGAGTGCTGCATGTTGGTGGAACCATTGTCTTGTTGCTTAATGAAGATCACCACAGGCTCCTTAAAGACTGCAGAGAGGGCAATAGCCCTCTCAACTCCAAGGGCAGCCACACCCATGAACCTGAAATTAAGAAATGCTTGAATCCTGAAGAAAACACTGGCACATCAGAGATGGTTCCATCTTCACATGAAACCAGTAACAACGCGTGCTTAAACAAGATGTCACCTTTTGGCTCTTTGGTGCCAGTGGAATACTACAAAGTTAGCTTAGGAAAAACAGAAGCATTCATATGCAAGTATAAGAAGTCACACAGTTCTGGACTGTAATGGGTTTGGGCTTGCTGCTAGCGAGCCAGGTGGAATCCTGTTTGTCCTGAGACTTTTTTTTTTTTTTTTTTTGGCACTGGGGATTGTACCCAGGACTGTCCCACCACTGAGCTATATTCTCAGCACTTGCTATTTTTAAATTTTGACACAGGAGACGGGGACTCACTCAGTTACATAGGCTGGCCTCGAACTTTGATCCTCCTGCCTCAGCCTCCTGAGTAGCTGCATACTATCTTAGACCACCACACTTGCTCTGAGATTCTTTATAGCACCCACAGTTTCAAGTAAATACTCCCCTGAAGACAGGAGCTATGGTGAATTGGCACCCTCTCATTAAGAATTTCTGCTTTATGCTCCAAAGCACTCTACATTCTTGACAAAGAAAAGTCATTGAATATTTTGGGAAAAAACTCATGTTCTAAGGTCTGTCAATATGAAAATCCTGTTCTGCCATGCACAATTTATGAGCAGAGACTTCTGCTTCCAAATAAATATTTCTAAGGGTTCACATGAATCCTTCAGTCAACACAAGGTTGAGAAATTTTAACTATCAGGTTGTAGAAATGTAGAAACCTTTATGTGTAACTTCTTTTGATATTAAACTTGATTTTTTTGAACCTATAATTTTCTTCTCCATTGGAATGAAAATAATTTTTATTTGCAGTACATTTTATACAGCTCGTGATAAAAAATATCAGTGAAAATAATAACATGAATTAAGCCAGTAGCCTCCAACGTGATAGAAAATGAAGTTTACTTTTTTTTTCTGAACAGCATTAATAAATTGCCCCCTTATGTGTCTTGTGTTGATTCTGTGAGAAGAAGAAATAGGAAGTTGATGAAAATATAGCTCTGATTTTTTTTTCAACATCCTGATATAGTGGCTCAACTTTTTGTCTGACTTAATACCATTCAAACAACCTGTGTTTGGGAGATTTCCTACTATGTGAAGCCCCAAAATTTGCTTTCCAACCAGGGCATGGTCTGTCTTCCAGGCCAGTGTCAAGCTACATTACATGCGCAAGCTGTGGCATTTGTGCCTGTGAGCTGCAGAAAAGTAGTCACCAGAACATTCCTGTCCTGAAGCTTGCCTCTCTGGCCTTCCTAGAAGTTCTGAGAGCCACCAGAGCTACCAGCTACCTCAACTACATTTCTTTTTTGTTAAAATTGTGTAGATTTTCTGTTAGCAACCAGAACCCTAACAGAGATGCTCTGAGGGGTTTCAAGCAACATGCCCCCAGACAGGTGATTCTGTTAGTAGTTATCTGGCTTGCTTAGGGTTAAAGATGACTTAAGCTAGTATTATAGAAAGTGTGTGGCATGTGATAATGGTAGAACAATTCATTATTCCTATGCTTATTCTACTGCTATGAGAAGCATCAATAACCTGAGAAACATAAGCAGGATTGAGGGTGAACTATCTACTTTTAACAGAATTTGACAACTAGAAGAAAAAGATCAAGATTCCCGTAGTCCTTATTCCTTGGGTTAATACAATGGCTTCAGTTATGGGCGACTTTGCCCCAGGGAACATCTGACCATTTTGGCTGCTACATCTTGGAAGAAAGGGTTGGAATCTAATGAACTAAGGAAAACCAAGGACACTATTAAACATCCTACAGTGCACAGGACAGTCCCTCACAACGATGAATTAATTGGTTCAGAATGTTAGCAGTGATCAAGTTTTGAAACAGTGGCTTTGTTCATGATAGAACATGCCAGGAAT